ACGATTTCACAAAACTTGATGATATTTGGATTACAGCAAAATGTTTGGTTCACATAAACATTCCTCAGTTGGTTTAAAGCACTACATTCTAAGATATAATGATTTATTACATTTTTACCCGTGAAATACTGTAATTTATTCATTGAATAAGAAATGATATCCTGTCACAGTGTGAAAGGATATCAAAATGATATCCTGTCACAGTGTGACGAAAATCAAAAGTGCAGGAAAACTCTCGATTTCCTTTCTCAGAACGAAGATTGTTGTAAAAATATCTGCCTTGACCTAATATAAGATAGGTGGAAATAAATAAACCTTTCTGACAGCGAATAAAACTGTCAAAATTACCAAAAATATATTGTCAAATTCAAGTTTACAGTGTTTTCACCTCACTTAGCTATTACGTCTCAACCGCTCAACTATGACGTCACGAGTCCATGAGTGTCTTACAAAAAAGACAGAGGCAAAGGAAAAATCAAAGATTTTTTTTTTTGAAATGTAATAAACAGAAAATTCAATGTTTTGTAGTTGAAAATGGAATTTACATTGTATTTCACTTGTGAGACAGGATATTTTTTATATTTTCACGAGTGCGAAGCCCGAGTGAAAATATCAAAAAATCCTGTCCCACTCGTGAAATAAATTCCATATTCAACAACAAAACATTGAATATCCTCTATATTCATCTCCTATCTGGTTACTACTGCATAAGCTACAAACTTTTTCATTTCTTTGAGTATCATTCCATATACCTGTTTCAATTGGGAGGTGGTGATTTGTGGTTTGAATACCATATATTTTATAAGCCACACCTATCAAACATCTTTTGTACAAATGATATCCATGAGTTTTTCATTTCCTCTTTATCATGTTGTTTACGTAAATACATATATACTATTCTACACAATTTGTTTTCTTTTCCAATCCCAGTATTTTATCATTTTTGAGTAAATATTTACATGTAATGGAAACCTACCAGTTTCTCCATAAATCATATAACTTGGAGCGCTACTTTTCAAATTTAATATATGTTTTAAATAACGTAAATGTACTCGTTCAATAATATCCCATATTTCACAGCCATATATTAATACTGGTAAAACTTCTTTATCAAACAAATCCAATTGACATTCGAAGGGGAGATTAAACTGCCTAATTTTACGTATCACACCATACATTGCCTTTTGTGTTTGTTCACATAGGTGTTTTTCTTGCTTTACACAATGAGCCTGTACGAGAAAATACAATCCCTAAATAATTAAAATATTGGACTACTTCTATGACACTGCCATTATATGTAAAAATATTCTTTGGCTGTCTACCCTTTGAAAAAATAAGAATTTTTGTTCTCTTAATATTCACATATAACTTCTATTCTTCACAATATGTGCAAAATTCATTTAATGCTCTCTGGAGATCTTCAGCAAGAATTACAGTATCATCGGCATGAAATAAGGTTAATTCCATATACAACAACAACTCATCCTGTGTGTCAGACGTTGTGGTAAAATAGGAAAGATGTAACTGAAAAGTTGAAATTACATGCTATTTCTAGTATACTGAAATGAATAATAATTAGATGTAATTATATAAAATTTAAAAAAAATGTTCATTTGAAAGCACGTACACTTACTTCCAAAAATGTAATTTTTTGCAGACATTTATAATAACTTTAAGGGTGATGTACAAGCCATATTCGATAAAGTCTGGTGTAAAAAAAGAAATACCAAGAATGCGCTTAATACTTTACCAAACTAGCCCAAAGTTGCTGAAAGTGCTAATGCACTCATTACCTACTGTTAAAGACCAAAATAAGAGATAATAATTAAGTTAATTTTGTTTTAATTAGGAGGAAATTTGTCATGTTAGAACTGCGCAGCTACAGCACTCATGAGATGAAAAATCTTTTTAAAATGATGTCTGTTCGGTTCATAGAAAATATGGCTACAACCATCTATTTTGATTTTTTTTCTTTTCATTATCCATAATTCTTGGAAATTTGATTTTTCATATTGGGGTCTCCTGATGCCATTTGTTCATTACGTCCGCCATTCCTCTGTCACACAGAGTTCAAATAACATTGATTTTAGAACAAATGCCACCATAACAACCATAACAAAAAATTGCTAAGAAATAATCCTTGGGTTATATAACTTTCTACTTTTATTATCGTCTGATTAATGAAAAAACACGATTTAAACCCGACTCCATCAAATTGTTCTGTTTCACTCCTACTAATGTATTCGAAACTTTTTACTTTTCGGTGTTGTGCAAATTATAAAACCCAATGAGTTCAGAGTAGTTTTGGTAGTGGCTCTGGGGAGAGTTAACGAGACTACAGTAAGATAGGGTAAATTATTCACGGAAATGTGGCTTAGGAAGTGACTAGCACCTGGAGACATGGTAAACAGAAAAGTTATGGTGCGTTATAGTTTTTCACTACCATTTAATATCATTCTGTAGAAAGGTACTTCAATCGATCTCTCTTACTTGAATTCATTCAAATCTAAATTATAAGTATTCTATTGATACAATTTTTCTGATGTTTTAAATTTCTTGTTGGACAAATATGGTAGCATAGGAACCGGGAATATATTTTTTGGCGTCAGATTAGTAAAAGAGGAACCAATGTGACTTTAACTGACAAATCTGCTGAATGAGAATTGCATTATGGGTTGCTACGAAAACTACAGGAATTTTACGCTCGATAAATTCTTTTATTGTACTATCGATGAAAACAATGTCAGGTGGATTCTGGCCTAGTTATGTATAAAATGTTTGTCCATTTAAATGCACACGAGAAGCTGCACGTTTTCCTTACCCTTGAAGTGAGTGCTCTGAATTTAGCACTAAATACGTATACATTTTATTAAATATATTTTTTTTAGTTAACGACAAATTAAAAACGCCCGTGACATCTACATAGTTTCTAATCTTTGCATTTCTCTCATAAGAATTTTTTTATTTTGCACTCCACTGACATGATCATAGATTGACCTGTACCAGGTGCTTGAAATAAAATGTAAACATGTATTGGCGTAAACGTATTCAATCATTAATTGGTCAATTGCTTGTGGTTAGATCCTCTGTGCGCATTATCAACAATAGCCATATAAGGCAAGATTTGTAAGTGAAGATGATATTACACATTATTTTTTTACCAGCTTGTCGGTCACTAGTGGCCTTTATTTTTTATTGTTATTTTTACCCCCCCCCCCCCCCGCCTTAAGCCAACATTTTATGTTGAAAATCATGAAAGTCTTTCAGGAAGGTCTGGAAACATATTATTTTTTCACAGGACATGTTTTCAAATGAAACAGACTATAGCAATTTCCTGTTTATTGACAATCTTATCTATAAAACCGGTTCTACCCTATAACCTTTGAATAAATAAAGCTAAACCACGTGTCTTGAATTTAAATTACAATAACTATAGTAGGGGTGTGTTTAAACCTCGACTTTCCTCGTTCATATTATTCCACTGCGCACGTGGTTTACCTATGCATATATCTGTTGTGGATAGATCTGTTTATTTCCATGATTATATTTAATTTTTCATGGAACAAGTATTGATAATTTGTTGGTTTCTTTAAACTCAAAAAAAGATTAAAATTGTCCTAAACCTATGTGTTTACTGCGGGTCTCTTTTCTGTGGAAAGAAGTTATTTTCAATTCGACTCTGCAAGGAGAATGCTTTGCTTTTAATTTGAAAATGTTAAACAATATGCGGTGCATAATACAAATTGTTATTACATGTATTACATTCGAAAAGTTGGAATATATGAATATTTTGTTAAGCAGTTAGATAGAAAAATACTCAGTTATAGGATTTCCTTCAGGCACCTCACATAAACAGCTAGAATGTTTGCGTTGGCCCACATATTGTATGGAGTAATGTTTGGACATAAAAAAACATCATGTCTCATTATGTTGACCAAGTTGAAAGCTCCAACAAACATACGAAGTTTGATAGAATATATTGAGTTGTTTCTTTGAAATTTAGAAGAGGGCACAATATTTGCAAAGAAACATCCATTGCCTATGCTATATCTATCTTCGCAAAACAAAAAGTGGGAGGCTTCCCCCCCCCCCCCACTCCGAAAATCTTATGTTCTTTTTCAAAATAGTGCCAAAGCATAAGAAATTTTGCATCACGAAGTATGTGTTGGAACATCTACTAGCCTATCATGGGCGTCGGAAGCAAATAACCGGGGGTACTTTTTCGAAAAGGGGGGGGGCTAAAGATAAATTCCAATTTCCAATGCCTATATGTCTATTTTTGCAAAAAAAGTCGGGTGGGGGCTAAGCTCTCCCGAGCAATCCTCTCCCCTTTCCGATGCCTATGCTAATTTTGCTAAGACCACTTTTACAAAAATATTTAATTTCCCCTCTCTCCCGACCTACTGCTTAGAAATGGCCCGACTCATTTTTTTTTTACATCCCATTACGTTACACGATATATTTGTTTATTTACATCATCCTTGATATACATATATTTTACATATTTTTAAGGGTCAAAATATATTTTTAAAAAATTAACACAAAGATTATGCATCTATCAAATTAATTGCTACAAATAAATAATTTACATTAATTTAGTAATTCATTACGTTTATGACGTATTCCGAATATTTCAATATCTCTAGGATAATCAAAGATTTTGAAGGTTCCCTGTGATCTGTTGATGTATTCGAAGAATGAAAAAAATGATAGCAGTATGTATATCCTTTTTTTAAGAGAAAACAATAGGTAGTTCATGTTCACACAAAGAGGCACTTCGTGTGCATTTGACATCATTAGTAAAGGGAATCCTTTCTATATCACATTTCATTGATTGGTCTGTTTTCGTCTAACTGATATAAACAAAACAAATTGCCAGAGTCTATCATTTAAAGTCGTTTTATATACTTCATTATTAAAAACCACCGAAATAAAGTCTGTATATCATTATTATAATTCGCACTAGTGTAGCAGTTCGTATCTCATTGTTGCCTTGATACCTGATTGATTCTTGGTATGAGTTTATAGCTGCCTGGTTGTCTCCTGTTATTTGTTGACATATCCCCAGAATCTGCCACGATATATTTTCGTCTCCATCTTCAACAAAGCGGTCCATATTAATGCTAACGAGGGTTCGTAGATCATGTAAAGCAAATTGTGTTTTTATTGGATCTACATGTATATAGCATAAAATCTCAAGCATGTACAGTAGCACGAAGGGTGGAATGAATAATGGAAAATCAAAGGACTGTAGACAAGACTGTTGTTCTGGTACCAACTCATTAATGTAATGGATGTGATATAGAAATTTTATATCCCATGCTACGGCTAGTCTCAGTTTCTTAGTCCAAGACAGTCCCACTAGAGCCTCGGAATACCTATCTGGAAAAATATGACCATATACCACGTACAGCTGTTTCAACCTGTCCTTAAGCTTCGTCTCCTCTATCAAAGACAAAACTTCTGAGTATCTTTGTGTCTTGTAATAATATATTGCTAAATACAGAATTTCAGATATACAACCAAACTTTGCTGCTAATTTTAGCAGGTGACAGGAGATTTTGTCAGATCTATACTTCTTTTTATTTCCTTTTGTACAATTCATATTTTGTATAATAAAGGCTGTTTTATGGAAGACATCGACTGTGATTGCTTGTAGCCAAATGACTTTATGCTGTGCAATAAATTGTGAACTTATTATCTGCTCTATTATCTGAAGATACCTCATATAGCCTTGTAGGTTGAATGCTATAGGTGAGCTTTGATAATGCACTTCTTTAAATAGCTCTGAATCGATCTCATACTCTATATTCTGATCATCTGTATTGATTCGGACCTCGGGATTACGTAGGACAATATCGTTACTACGCTTAATGAACGGAAAGGGTAGTAGGGATTCTAAACCTTTTTCATACAACCTATGCAGATTAGAAAATAAATTATTTTGTGCATAACCATAAATACCAGCCATAAACATGTTATTTTCTGGAATGAAAAAATTTGGACAGACTCCCTCATACACCCATTTGAGGACTTGTTTAAAACAAACCCAGAAACACTCCAGTAGATTTTGTGGACACCAATAAGTTATTGTATTTTGTTGAATCATCCAGAAAACTGCCGTCTTCATGTGATAGGAACTCAGTAGTTTATCATCATCACTTAGTCCATTGTTAATTATTTCCTTTAAGAACAGTTTAAGTAATCCGTAAGTTAAGAATTGGCAGTGGTTCATTGCACACATAAGTTTATATTCTGCAAGAGAGAAAGAAATTCTCCACTCATTATGCTCATGCTTGCTTCGTTTATGTCCTACTGGAACAAAGTGGCATCCATTTTGTACTATATCATGCACAATTTCAGGCTGGGGCCAAGCGTGACATCTTTCTAACCATGGGTAAGCAGATGTAGGCCAAAAGTCACTCATAATACCGTGGGCATGATCAAATTCTGTACTTCCATGAATTCCACTGGCACACGGTCCATGTTCAACAGGACTAACCGAAATTGTAGAACATAAGTCTCCTCTGAATTTAGAACTAGATATATATTGCCTGTTATTCATTCTTACACAACATCTCTCGATTCTTCTGTTCGTGGTTGGTGACAATAAATATAATAAAGTGTATCCTGGTGGAGTATCCGAACAGTCACAGATGATCAGTGACTGTCTGTGTGTGGTGTAAAACAGAGACTGAAATAATTCCCATATCACACGGTGATTAATGTTCCAATACATAACATCAAGATCTGAACTTTCTAGCCTAAATCCTTCTCGAAAACTCCCACCGACTCTTTTAATCTCCCTGTAATATCTTCCATGTGCTAGAAAATCAATCTTTTCTTTTATGTCCAACATGTCTCGTCTTATTTCCACAATTTTGGAGGTCCCAAATTTATGACACAATAAAAGGTACACCATCTTTGACAAACGCTGTATGTCTTCTACGCTATTAATGTTTAAGGAAAGTAATAGGTTACTGATGTTATCATTTGAAATGTACTTAATAACAAAAACCTTATTACCTTATTACTAGAGGTTATAAAGATGTTAATGGCTAATATGAATAAACATTTGATTGATAGAGTTTATTAATATATTAGAATGCTCATTTGTTGGTCGATAATTCATAGAAATTTCAGTTGTCAAAATATTTCTCGATAATATGATGAATTGAAATAATTCCACTCTCCTATGATGTCATAGGTTTTTTGCAAAAACTGTTATTAGTTAAAATTCATACCTAATAGAACAATATCTCTTGGAAGAATGCTTTACAATAGCCAATATGTGTAATGATAAATATTGTTAAGTTAAAAAATTTAAAAAAAAAGAGCATATTTTCTATATTTAATAAATTATTCAATCTTTTAAAAAATGTTGACAAGGGCAAAAACTCCTGCTTAGGCCTCTTCATGCAGACATTTGCTTTATTGTAAAATAGTTTCCTTGATATTCACAATGCAAAAGTATCTTTTACGTAGGAAGTATTTAGGAACACTCAGCATCAGAATTATGCATTTTAACCATTTTTTACATAATTATTTTTCATGATGCTGTTTACGAAAAATATGCGATGTTTTCATGTTGACATACACTTCTGTTTATTTATGTTCCGCATCTTAGATAATATGACGTCATAATCAATTTCAACTTTCTTTTTCCCGTACTTTACACCTTTAGCAGAATTATGTAGAAAAAAGGGCATTTTCATGACATTCAATTTGAAATCAAATGAAAAGTAAACCGGATACCTATATCAATTTTTATATCAATTTAAGGAGGCCATGAACATACTAATTACCGTTTTTTGAGATACTTTAGGCAATCTGGATACCTTTTCTTTGTCAAATATGAACTCAAATATTCATGACTGGGTTTTTTAAATTTTTCATTGAAAATGACAGTTTAAAATAGATTTTTTCATCTTGTTTACCTACAAATTATACGATAATAAATTAAAGGAGGAGGGTGAACATAATTGGTATAAATTACAGGTCAGCGTAAAATTGTAATAGTCAAAAAATGGTTACGTAGTATGTTTAAGTAAAAAAAGGAGTATTAGTACAGAAAAATGATGGGACCAACAACTCCATCTGAAACAGGAGTTGAGTTTCTATACCCCCCCCCCTTTTTATAGCTAGTCAACTTTTGTCAAGGTTTTTTTCGGGGGGTAACCCCCTTCAAAAAAGTTTGTAAATCACTGTCATAAATGCTTAGGATTACATGTATTGATAACATAAATGTTGCAGCAACAAATAAAAAAAACATTTTCTTTATAATACACCAATCATGTAGTGTCTTCTATTATTTTTAACAGGCGAAATATTTAGATTAAAACGAGTCAAAGGAAGGGCAAACTGTCCCAAATGCAGATTTTGGGAGGGGGCGAGGGACCCTTTGGAGATTTTACGATTACAAAACCTATAGGAAAATTTTAACAAGTCTGTTTTTGAAGAGATGCGCAACACTTTCTGTCGCTTTTAAACCTGTGTGAATATAATATTTCCATTTATACTTTGCACTACACAAGTCACAATACTAAGAAAAATATGGGGTATACACTGTGCGTACAACATGTTGCATACACCCCGGTCACAACATTGATTTTTCCTCAATATCTTTATATACGAACTGTTTTATTTACAGACAATTTGTACAAACGTTTATTTTGTAAACATATATTTAAAGAAGAAAACACATTTCGCGTTAATTTCATAGGCGTCTGAAGCAAATAGAATGGGGGGGGGGCTTAACCAAAAAAAGGTAAAATTCAATTTCCGATGCTTATATTATGTATATATTTGCAAAAAATGGTTCCGACGCCTATGAATTTTATCATAAAGGTATACATTTTTCTTCATAAATTGAAAAAGATATTTCATTTCTTCAGAAAAATATGAATTACAACATTTTTACACATTTTTACACAAATCCTTTTTAAGATATAACCTATTGTACAAGAAAAATGGGATAATACTTACTTTGGGCTCCATTATGAATTTTCATGCAAAATGCATTACTATGAATTTGATATCATTTAAAGATACAAGTCAAATAGTTTAAAAACATGTTGATTTTGAATGTGATATTTTTTGTTCTTTTTAGTACATTTTTGGTTGAAAAGTAATGGCTGAAAAAAATCAATTTTTAGCGTTTCGCACTGTTTTTGCCCGTGCTACTGCGAAAACCTAGCTTATAATTGTATTGTTTTAGTGTCTAAACATTTGAAACAAGTGGCAAGGAAAGAAATGTCAAAGTTTTGAAAATTTCACACAAAGACTTTTCGGATATACCCCCTCCTTCCCCCTTAAGTCTGCTTCTGTATATTCAAAATTAGATCCTTTGATTTCCTACTCAAAGATCTGAAGAAACCCCATTGAAAGTCATCTCCTGATGATCTTACAATTATACAATCAAACGTTCGATGGCAAGAATATACCGGTGATATACGAACGGAAAATTGTTACCTAGTTTGACCACAATCACTCTTCCGTACAGACATATATTAAGTACATGTATCTGCCTTCATCTTGTTTTTGTAGCTCCTTGATTTCCACGAAACATTCATAAAACGTAAGGTCTTTTCCACTGCTACTTTCATTTAAACATTCAATTTCGAATGTTATTGTATGATAAGAACGAGCTATCTGATTGGTCAAATTTTAATTTTTAATGACTATATTTATTAGAAAGGTCGCCAGGACACGACCCTGTATGGAGTTTCTTCAGACTATGGGCCTTTACCAATTACTGTAATTGTGTTTGTGCCAATAAAATATTTAAGGTCTTCCGTTTCCAAAGGTAATAACGGAAAAAATCCGTGGTCTATTCAGTGTATAAATAATGGACTAACAATTGGTATGAAAAATCAATCAGCATTTCATTCAATGATAAATTGTATTTGCTGACAAGGTCATTGTATCGACCATAGAATTTACGAAATGATGACTTTAAACGGGACTTTTGATATTCTTTTTTCATCAACTTGCTTGTCAATAATTTACCTCGTTTAAGAACGCAGTTATGATAAGGCTGTCCGAAGGCTTAAAATGTCTTTAAAAAATACATTTCATTTTGAGATTGATTTTAATTTCAATATGTGATCCTTCTTTGAAATTGCAGTCAACTTGAGATAACAGTTTAATAAGGTTTTATAATAAAGCATTTCTGTGATGTCAGATGACTGTGTTGATCACGTGACGGACATTTTTGATATTCTTAAATGTTGCACAAAAATCGCTTCGGCACAAGTGCAAGACGAAAATATTGTGCAAAGTTTGTAACATAGATCAATTCCGCGTTATCCCTGGTACATAAAAAGTGCTGGGGGCAGGTTTCATTTTTACTTCTTAAGAAAATATTTTACGATGAATTAAAATTACCCACGTAAAGAAGGGTATTTTCTACACTTTATCGCGATTTATACAAAAACGGATAACTACATACTATCCCCCAACAAAATTCAGTTAGAAGACATAATTGTCTTTTAGATTCACGCAGATTATCTTCAATGTATCCTTGTCTTTCACTTGTGCCAGTCCAATATAAACACGATTCATAAATTCTAACTCTGTCTACGGAAGTGTAAATGGAGCGTTTCAAACATAATCTTTTATAATCTTTCACTATTGCTTTAATATATGCATATCGGACAAGCAAAAGGAATAGAGACTTTTAAATATCAAATGTTAAACATTATAACAGCACACACAAGCTTAAAAAACAACCCTTACTCTTAAATTAAACACAAATCCCCATAATGAATCTACATGCCGTGTAATAATTATGACACTTTCCCCGTCATGTCAGCTCAAGTATGCAGTGACTTGACGTCATATTCTATTATGACGTCATATCTAGGTAGTTCAAAGAAGTAACTACAGTTTAAACAGTTTGATATTTTACAGGCAGCCTTATCCTAGCTGCGAAATTGTTCATACGCAGAGCATGCTCTTGCATATCGAATCAATTGAGATATAAATACTCCGTATGCAGGTGATGAAGGTATATTGCTGCATAAGTAAGGGAAGTTGACGATAGAAAAGTTAAAGTCATCACGTTTATCATATAGCTTCGTTGTTAGATTACCATTAGTGTCTTTTTCAAGTAAAATATCCAAATATGAAGCAGAAGTGTCGGACTCTGTGGTATCTTTTATTTCAAGCTCACCAGGATATATCGTGTCGACGTAGGAATGAAAAATATCATTATTAATAGACAATACGTCGTCGATATATCTAAATGTCGAGTTGAAGGCCACAGCAAGTGTTTTCTTCTTTTCACGTAAAAGATTTTGCATAAATTCTGCTTCATATGAATATAAAAATAAGTCTGCTAATAACGGAGCGCAATTTGTACCCATGGGAATTCCAATAGATTGTTGGAATACCTGGTCTCCAAAAACCACATAGATATTGTCAATCAAAAACTAAAGCATTTTCTTGATGTCAACTTCAGAGTACTTATGTGTGCAATCAGAATCTGTTTTAACAAAATAATTTTTCAAATGACCAATGACGAGGTAAGTAAACTTACGAGTTCCATTTTTGTTGAAGAAGCAGCTGTCAATGATATCAAAAAGCCTGGATTTTAATTTTTTCGTGGGGAATTGTTGTGTATAAAGTTGAAAAGTCGTAAGTTTTTATGCTGTTGATTTTTGTAAAGTCTTGTGATTTCAAATTGTCCAAAAGTTCTTTAGAATTTTTAAGTATCCACATCTGATTTACACAACTTCTTGAATATATAGTTGTACAGTACTCTTGAAGTTTTTCCTTCACTACTGTCAATATTTTAGTGAGAAGTAACGAAAGAGGCTTGGTTGAACATTTACTGGAACCTGCAATGTATCTTTGTTTGTAAGGACTCTTATGAAGTTTCGGAATCCAATATATATAAGGTAGTTCAAATTCATTTTGGCTCTGTGGAATATTAAAAGTATTCAATACTGACAGGTGATTCTGAAGAATTTCTTCCTTAGAAAGAGAAATATATGTATAAGTAGGATTACCACTTGTAGAATTAAATCCAAGTTCTTCTAGAATGCAATTTATATAATGAGCCTTACAAACGAAGACAATGTTGTTACCTGCTTTGTCGGCAGGAACCAGTAAGTACTGATCGTGTAATCTATCTAATTCTTGTGTGAAGTGTTTACGAGGAAATTCTGACTGTCACATTAACAAGGATGAACACTCTTGACTCTGCTTCGGATTCGGATCATCATATAATTCCCCAGTGATAATTGTATCGAGTGATGAAAGAGCTGACGGCGACATTTTAATGTATGATTGGCTTGGACCATTGGAATGAAGGTTAAAATATTCTTATTACTTAAAATTTACACTACTGATAACATGACAGTGACATACATTGATGTTATTAGAAAAATACACAGACACACCGATATATTATCTGTTTTACAGTTCAGACGCTCTCTGTTTACCTTGTAATCCCCACAGCTTTATATTTTATTTTTTTTAAAGAATGGGTGAACTTAACTGGCCAGAAAAAATGCCGTAAATTTAAGTTTCATAAAATGTCTACTTTTTTCCATCAAACAAACTTCCGATATCTTAACTGTGTATTCATGGTACGGATGTGAATTTAAAACACTCTTTTCGAGGTAAACTAAACAAATATCGAAAGCATAGTACCTGAAGATTTCTTGAAAATCAATAGATAATCAGGGTCACACGTTTTTCATCGTCTGAATAGATAGTCAGCACATGTTTGTCGGCTGTTCTTAAGAAAACTGTAGTTGTATATTGAACAAAATAATGTTATATTAAAAGGAGAAAAGCCGACAAGAGTGTGCTCACACTTAATTTAACAAAAACAGGTTCAAAACAAACTTCTCGCTTCCATTGAAATGTCTTCGATTGACCTCTTAAATATTACAATTCGTCACGTGATGTCCACCTGCGAGTGTACTCGTGAAGACAGTTACATTGTATTCTTCATCCTGACCTCGATCTAAATCATGTCATTGAGCGTGTTTTGTTGCCGTTTTCAGAGTTTAGCAAATTAAAAATTGTTTTAATTTTGCGTGTCATCACATTTTTAAAATAATTTCATTTTGACATCGCTGTAAAATGCTAATCACGTATTCGAATTTTTGGAAAGAGAGAGGGATAGAGAGAGAGATGTCAACAATGACACCGATAGATAGCCCCGCCTCCTATACATGTAAATAATTGATTGTGTGACATAAAAACGACTCCGGGTACATGTCGAATTCCGGAAGACGACACTCAAGTATCTTTACTTCAATTTTGATACACGACAACAGGGCATTGTTTTGGCACAAATGTTCCACCTAATATAACCAAGTATATGTTGCTCTTTCAATTGCACATAATTTATTTTGGATTCACTTCATATACAGATTGTAAAAGGAATCGCAAAAAGATCCAAAATAGGGCGTTAAGTCCACCCATTCTTTGAGGATGTAATTTCAACAGTCCTACTATCTATCATTGTGATCATACTCTATAATTCAAACTGCACTTAATGTTACAGAATATATTCAACTAATTATATATTGACAGTGTGACTATAACGGTTGGGGCAGATACTTATTTAGTTTTAATTTAGATTTTGCTTGTCAAGCCGCATTTGACATTTGGTGCATCCATGCTCAGTGTTCACACTGAGAGTTTATTCAAATGTTTAATTCGAATGAATTCACTGCTCGTTAAATTACTTCCCATTAGCGTGAGTAAGGATACCTAATTCAAATTAAATAGAAATGAATTTTGAATGTAGCTTAAACATGTTAAAGAAGCTAAGCACTGTGGGTCCAAAGTTAATACTGCGGAAAAATTGTGTGGAGTAATGCGCAAGTCACAATCTTCTTTTGCCAAGGTCTTATCATAACAGCTCGCATTATTGGCAGGGATTTGTGCTGCTGTCTGGACTCGCTATAAATTGATGTTCTCAAAAAGTCTTAATTATTTAATATCATACTTTACTGACAAAAAAGGACAAATATTGCTCAGTTAGATTGCAAAAGAAATTTGTTTCAAAAAATTGTAATAATAGAAAGTTTGCTTTTTTGTTTGATAAGACTGCTGTAATGGTTTAATGATTGTTTATTTGCCTTAATCATACATTTTTCAGTCATTTCATGGTGCCACCACTTGGGATGGTATTAGCTGCAAATATAGACTTGTACTCAGTACTTATTGCCTTTAAGAAGAATGAGATCTATTTTGTGCTAACACCTACCGTGACCCAGAATCTTGGTTTATGCAGTCTCATAGGAGTAACCTGTCTAAAGCATTTAGCAATGGGATTGTAACCTGCGACGTAAGGTTCAGCTTCTTATTGATACTTTGATTTATAATATCTATTTGAGAATTTCACTCATTCACATACTTAGAGATGTTGAATAGCATCAATTTAGACCTTTACTTAGCTAAGTAAACATGTACTGTGAGGTTTTTAAGGTCTCATTCATTTTATATGCCAGATGCATGTTCAGGAACATTACTGAATACATGTTTTTGTCTTAAATTTTTTTGTCTTAAAAGCTCTTTACTAATATAGAGATATGTTAGTATTAAACCTCTTCAAATTAGGGTAGACCTTTACTTTAAACTCAGCAATGTGAGTGTGTTGTGTGAACTTGTGTTAGCGAGACAGTGTGTTGTATGAGTTTTTGTTAGCAAGGCAGTGTGTTTTGTGAACTTAATTGTGTTAACCTGACAGTGGGTTGTGTGACTTTTTGTTAGCTTGACGATGTGTTGCGTAAACTCGTGTTAGCGGGACAGCGTGTTGTGTGAAATCGTGTATAAAGTGTAAGTAAGACAGTGTGTTGTGTAAACTTGTGTAAGCTAGACATAGTGTTGATTTAACTCGTATTAGCGAGACTTCGTGTCGTGTAAACTCGTGTTAGTGAGACTGCCTGTTGTGTAAACTCATGTTAGCGAGACTGCCTGTTGTGTAAACTCATGTTAGCGAGACAGCGTGTTGTGTGAACTCTTATTATCGAGACAGCATGTTGTGTGAATTCATGTTAGCGTGACAGTGGCAGTGTGTTGTGTGAACTTGTTATCCTGAAATTTGTCGTGTGAACTGGTGTTAGAGAGAAAGTGTGTTTTTTTAACTCATGTTAGCGAGATTGCATATTGTGTGAACTCGTGTAAGCCAGACTGCGTGTTCGTGTTAGCGATATTTCATGTTTTTTGAATTTGTGTTAGCGTGACAGTGTGTTGTGTGAAATGGTATTTGGATGACAGTGTGTTGTGTGAAATGGTATAAGGATAACAGTGTGTTGTGTGAAATGGTATTAGGATGACAGTGTGTTTTTTGCAACAGCCTCTGGTGCCAACTTGTGTTAGTGAATAGTGAGACAGCCTGTTTTGTGAATTCGTGTTAGCATGACAGTGTGTTGTGTGAAATCGTGTTAGCCTGACAGTGTGTTGTGTGAAATGGTATTAGAATGACAGTGTGTTGTGTGAAATGGTATTAGGATGACAGTGTGTTATCGCAACAGCATTTAGTGCGAATTTGTGTTAGTGAATATAGTGAGACAGCCTGTTTTGTGACTTTGTGTTAGCGTGACAGTGTATTGTGTAAACTCGTGTTAGTGAGACTGTGTGTTGTGTAAACTCATGTTAGCGTGACAGTGTGTTGTGCGAATTCATCTAAGCGTTACAGTGTGTTGCGTGTACTTGTGTTAGCTAGACAGTGTGTTGTATGAACTCATATTAGACATTTCCAGTTACGAGCGCCACGAGCTCGGACTCGTACTCTGTACTTCAATATACAAGGGGCTGTATCAAAAATTTACAAAAGGGGTTTTAAGGTAGACGGATTTTATGCCATTTTCGCGACAAATTGAAAAACAAAGCAAAGACGAATTTAATACTTGTATAGATTTATCATTTGTTTTCATTTGCATGAAAAAGCAAGGCAAATATTGACTGTTTGTCTTATTTTGTAAATTGGATGCCTCTACATTGTGCCTATGGCACGGAAGAATTTTATTTCTCGAATTACATGTTGTACATTTATTCTCTCTATATATTTATTTTTCTGTTTAATGTTCTGCATCGTCGCTGCTGATTTACATATCTTCTAGGAATCTAGGAAACTGTTTTGTGTGTCTTTAAATATATCAAATTTTGACACGGTCCCTAAAAAATTTGAAACAACTGTCCGAGTCAGTGTGCGAGTACGATCTCGAGTCCGTGAAATCTGGAAATGTCTATTAGCGAGACTGCGTGTTGTGTAAAACTCGTGTTAGCAAGACAGAGTGTTGTGTGATCTTGTGTTAGCGAGACAGCGTGTTTGTGAATTTGTGTTAGCATGATAGTGTGTTGTGTGAACTCGTGTTAGCCTGATATTTTGTTGTGTGAAATTGTATTAGCGTGACAGTGTGTTGTGTGTTAGTGTTACAGCGTGTGGTGCGAACTTGTGTTAGTGCGAAAGTGTTTTTCAGTGTTGTGATGGCGAGCTGTGTGATAGCTTAATGGCGTCTTTTGTGTCAGTAAGATGGCACGCTTTTATGAAAGTGCTATTGAACTTTAGCAAGTGGCCCTATCTGGACACGCCTTATTATAATTGATCATTTCTCAGATATACAGTGAATTACCGGTATAATTGTCACCATGAAATCAGCATTTACAGTTGCAATTACCTAGTTAGTAATAAAGATATTGGTTTGCGAGTTTTAAAATTATGGTGTTCGAATGAAGTGAAGTTGCAGTGTGTTAGCATGTTAATTTCAACAGACTGCCACTCCAATGCAGCTTTAAACAACACGCTGCTGTGTTTACACAAAACAAAATTTCATGCAAACACATCTCTAAACAATGAAGGATATGGAAATAACGAACAGTATTCAATCTCAACGTCCATTAAACAAATATACAAAATAAGAGCAGAGCAAACACGGACCCCCGAAACATCAGAGGTGGGATCAGGTGCAATGGAGGAGTGAGCATCCCCTGCTGACCGGTCACACCCGCTGTGTGCTCGTTGTCATAATCAGGATATAACGGAAGAAATCCGTGGTCAATTCAGTGTATAAATAATGGACTAACAATTGGTATGAAAAACGTCAGTCAGCATTTCATTCAATGATAAATTGTATTTGCTGACAAGGTCATTGTATCGACCTGTTGAGTGTTAGCTTCACTGCATGTTGGATTCAGTGTGCTGGCATATTATCACTGACGTACATGCTAGCACATTGTCACCTCGTGCTAGTATGTTGTCATTAATACTCTAGCACATTATCCTAAACCCACAAGTGCATGATTACTTTGCACGTGTATGTTGTCTTATCAGGGTATAGCATAAATGACTGCCTTAATTGGTGTAAACTTCTTTTAATTGATGAAAGAGTACATTAAAATTTACAAATTATACACAGAAAATGTGACAAAATCTGATCTCTCAATTTGAAAATCTAATTTATAATCTCATGAATTGCACTTTTTAGCTCACCTGAGCTGAAAGCTCAAGTGAGCTTTTCTGATCACCCGTTGTCCGTCGTCCGTCTGTCTGTCTGTCTGTCTGTCTGTCCGTCCGTCCGTCTGTAAACTTTTCACATTTTCAACTTCTTCTCAAGAACCACTGGGCCAATTTTAACCAAACTTGATACAAAGCATCTTTGGGTAAAAGGAAATTTAAATTGTTAAAATCAAGGGACAAGACCCCTTCCAAGGGGAGATAATCAAGAAAATAGAAAAATAGGGTGGGGTCATTAAAAAATCTTCTTCTCAAGAACCATTGGGCCAGGAAAGCTGAAACTTACGTGGAAGCATCTTTGGGTAGGGTAGATATTAAATTTTTAAAATCATGACCCCCGGGGGTAAGGCGGGGTCACAATAGGGAATCCAAGTTTTACATAAAAATATATAGAAGAAATCTTTAGAAATCTTCTCAAGAACCACTGGGCCAGGAAAACTGAAACTTTCATGGAAGCATCCTTGGGTAGTGTAAATATCAAATTGTAAAAATCATGACCCCCGGGAGTAGGGCGGGGCCACAATAGGGAATCCAAGTTTTACATAGAAATATATAAAAGAAATCTTTAAAAATTTTCTTCTCAAGAACCACTGGGCCAGGAAAGCTGAAACTTATGTGGAAGCCTCTTTGGGTAGGGTAGATATTAAATTGTAAAAATCATGACCCCCAGGGGGTAGGTTGGGGCCACAATAGGGAATCCAAGTTTTACATAGAAATATATAGAAGAAATCTTTAAAAAATTTTCTTCTCAAGAACCACTGGGCCAGGAAAGCTGCAACTTATGTGGAAGCATCCTGGGGTAGTGTAGATATTGAATTTTTAAAATAATGATCCCGGGGGTTAGGGCGGGGCCACAATAGAGAATCCAATTTTTACATAGAAATATATAGAAAAAGTCTTTGAAAATCGTCTCAAGAACCACTGGGTCAGGAAAGCTGAAACATATGTGGAAGCATTTTTAGGTGGAGTAGAAATTAAATTGTTAAAATCATGACTCCCAGGGGTAGGGCGGGGTCACAATAGGGAATCCAAGTTTTACATAGAAATATATAGAAGAAATCTTTAAAAATCTTCTTCTCAAGAACCACTAGGCCAGGAAAGCTGAACATTATGTATGAGCATCCTTTGGTAGTGTAGATATTAAATTGTGAAATCATGACCTCCAGGGGTAGGGCGGGACCACAATAAGAAATCCAATTATTACTTAGAAATATATAGAGAGCAAATCTTTAAAAAAGATCTGCATCACCCAAGTTATTCGGGTGAGCGATGTGGCCCATGGACCTCTTGTTATTAGTAAAAGAATTATAAATTAAAAAATTTCAATTTCTTTTGGATAGGTGTGACGCATCTGAATACTGAATTTTGATACCAAGCATGACCATGATTTGCCAGAAGATCATCTGTTTGGATGTGACATGGAATAAACTGCATAGTGAAAATAAGTCAAGTTTTGGTTTGTGAAGACATTTTTTTATAACACACTGTGTTCATTAAATTCATGTTTCATTTTATAAACATGCAAGTTTTCAAGAAAAACAGAGCACAAATAGTTATATTTTTATCAAATTAAAAATGATACACACTCACACCCGGAGCACTAAAATGAAAATTCTTGACGTCACCCGACATCGAAAGCATAACACGAGTACGTGTAACTTTTCTTAATATAGTAACCGTTTATCTCAATAAATTTCTTATTTCGCTTTAACCAGTCGAAAATATGTGCACAAAATGTTCAGGTTTATACTTAAAATAATATCTAACTATCCCTGTCTCATATCCTGCAATCCTCCAACCTCTATCCGCGTAAAAACTATAAAATTTTATTTACGGAAATACGGTAAAGTAACGTTACGAATTTCATTTTTTACGGCCTTGCAATCTCGGATTGATGGTTTTTCTTCACGCATCCTTTAAACTCTTCCTTCCATCCGAAAATATTATATGCCACTTAAATAATAATGTACGGCTTCTTTTACCATGTTTTCCCGATTGTTTATAAAATGTATTGGTCTTTGCAGTTGTTTTATCCGATGTCTATGCAGAATGTTATCACTGCTCACTGCTCCACCTTTTCCAAAAAGGTCCCTTTTTTGAACAATTCCGATCCGTCTTAATATGTTCTAACTTTGATTGCTCAGCCATTTTACAACTTTGAATTTTCAAACTTTGCAGGTTTGAAGAAATTACTTCTGTCAACCTCATAATGTAAAAATTATTCAGATTTATGCAGAATTTTATTAAATACAAATGAAATTTATAACGTGATAAATAATTTTTTTATCGAAATTTCGCGGTGCTCCGGGTCTCCATACCAAGTCTTATTACGAAGTCATAATTGTAATTAAACATTTGAAATGGAATCCGATTTTACATTTCTCAGTTCACATTTAGTCAAGAATCAGAAATATGCTAATGATAAATGTCAATGACGCAACATTTATTTAAGCTGTTTCCACCTTCACAATTTTATAGGTTCAAAGTACAAAAAATGCATTTATTTTCATTTAATATACTTAAAAATTTCCAATTATTGCAAAAATGTATAGGTCACCATATTATTTAGGATGCGAAACATTAATGAACAGAAGTGTAGGTAAACATAAAAATCGCACATTTTTGTGAACAGTATTGTGAAAAATATGAAAAAACTGGTTAAAATGCATAATTCTGATGACAAGTGTTACTAATTAATTCCTACTTAAAAGATACTTTAGAATTGCGAAAATTGGGGAAATTATTTTACAATAAAGCAAATGCCTGAATGAAGATACCTTCGTAGGTGTTATTGCCCTTGTAAACTTTTTTTAAAGATTGCATATTTGATTAAATATAAAAATTATGCATTTTTAAAATTCTTTAACTAAACAATATTTATCATTACACCTATTGTAAAGCATTCTTCCAAAAGATATTGTTCTATGAGGTATGAATTGAAACTTATCACAGTTTTTGCAAAAACCTATGACATCATAGGAGTCTGGAATTACCGTAATTTTTAGCCTGTCCACGAACTTTATGGACAACCCTCGTATGTGAATTTTTTACAGTATAATGTAAAAAAAATTGTTATTTTGGCACATACAACTAATTAAAGGCATAAACATGTGTATGATTCAAAGGAATTCAGTTCATAGGGCATGTACATGTAGTTTTCTAAAACAATGTTGACGAGATGTCCAGTCGCATTTCAATGTCAACTCCAAAACTTTGCCTGTTGCATACTTATTAGCCCATCTGAGCTAAAGGAACCAGTAAATTTTATCCATTATCATCATTGTCTAAAATTTCACAATATCATTTTCCAGAACCAAAGTGAAACTTGGAACAGAGCATCCTTAGTGTAGGGGATTCAAATTGTTCTTATGCAGGGTAATACCTTCAAAGAGATTTGTTTCTTTAATGCTGTAAATGTATTATATTTAGCTTGTACAATATTTGGTGGAAATTGACTTTTGAATAAGTTAGCGTAGATATTATTATTTATGTTTATGTACAAGACTTTTGCTTTGTACTTGATTTAGTGATTGCTGCATTCCGCCAAAGCCGCTTAAAAAGAATACACAGCCATATGTAATATGTTCACAATATACCTTTCAGAGAATGCTTCAAATTTGAAACATACACAACACATTTCTGTGCGTTTATTATAAAAGTATTGTTCTACTTACTGATTGCAACTAATGAAGATTGTTCATCATTATTGTAAATACATTTGGATTTTTTGAATTATTATATAATTTGTTTATTTAATTTACTTAGTTATACTGTATATTAAATGATTTTAAAGCCATTTTTAAGATGGTAATGTAGCAAAACACTTATGTTTCTGTAGTATGACACGTTTCACAAACATAATTTCAACAAACATGATATATCCGATATCAAAAGTCATAATATTGGAAGTTAAACTGTTATGGATACGATTTCAAGAATGCTGTTAGAGAGAGTACCCTTTAGACCTCATGCTCACACCAAATTAAAGAATTCAAGTAAGGTTTTTTGAGACAAATCGAAAAAGAGAATGTCATAATGATAAGACTAGAGCAAAGCTCGTTGCAAAGCAACGAGTGGGTCTTCCTTCCTAGCGATAAGCAAAAGATTAAATGTTTCTGTCTAGAATGTCAACTAGATTGTTGAGAATCTAAACAGAAACATTTAATCTTTTGCTTATCGCTAGGAAGGAAGACCCACTCGTTGCTTTGCAACGAGCTTTGCTCTAGTTCTTATTATTCTTTTTTTCCCTTTTCCTAGACGCCAACTTTGAGGCCTCAAATTTCACTCATTTCTGAATGGATTTTGCTCAAATTTTCAGAGTTTATGGACGTTACTAAACTCTATCAGAATGCTATCTAAAATTTCAAAAAAAATCACTTCCGGTTTTGAGTTATTTCCCTTTAAACGAAAATTTATAGGCTTTCGTTTCCAGACAAAGGCTCAGAGACGGCCAGAGCTGAAGCAGAAATTTTACTGATTTTAGATAATACAAGGATTGAAATTGTGCATGACGGTTTTTGTTTTTCGATTTCTCTATTCAAAATGGTGCTATAAAGGGACCAAGAATTAGAACTAATAAAAGAGCGAAAATTTACACATATATTGCTTTTTATCTTCTAAACTATAAATATTTTGTTAAAACATATGGAACAAAATTTGTGCAGAACTACAAGATCTTTCAAATGATATCTCGAAAAAAGGGATGACCCCTCAATTTAGGGATCTAGAGGGGCCAAAAGTTTTTTCCAGATATCTCAAAAAGTATTGAGAATTATTTTGTAATACATCCAAGAAGCAAAGTTGTTTAAAATGTCAAGCATAATCTACTGAAGTCGTCAAAATGCGTCCGGCGACTTCACTTCCGGTCAAACCGGAAGTAGTAAGAAAATACATATTTTTGCCGCTCTTGTCAAGTTTTTGGGTAACATATGTCACTGGAAGCATAAAACTTTATTTTCCGTCCATCGACATCACTTCCGGTCAAACAGAAAGTAGCCAAAAATAGTTTATTTTTTAAAGTTTTGATGCAAAATTGAAATAATAAAGTGACTGGAGACGACTAAGCTCATTGCTTTCTTTTGTTAACGTTACTTCCGGTAAAAACAGGACGGAAGGTTGCTTTGCAACGAGCTTTGCTCTAGTTGTATTTGTATTTGTAAAGCGATCTATCTGAGTAGATCAAAGGATCTGATTTTAATTAGATTGCTATCAGTCGGAGACAACGGTAAATATATACGACTACCCCTTCTTTTGTATGTAATATGACATAGATGTCGAAACCGGGGGGCTACGGGGTAACCCCCCCCCCAAATTGTAATTTGTGCTTTAGAAATAAAATTAAATTCATCAGAACATGTATTGGTAACAATCCTCTAAAAACTAATGTCCAAATAACTGTATATCACTTCCATTCTCAATGACCGTGTAGTGTAGGACAGCGTTGTGAGAATTCCATCGGCATCGAAAGCAAGTTTTTAACTTGCCTAGATAGCCGAGCGGTCTAACGCGCTGTTCCTGCACTGCTAGGAGACAGATTCCGTAGGTCTAGAGGTCAACCCCGGGCTGGAGCGGAAGTGAGTATCCTTGTAAAAGTGAATTTCTCTGTGCTTTCTATATTAATATTTCTTCACTTAGGGCAGTTATATTAGTTTCAGAGTTGTTGTTATTTGTGGTTTAGAAATAAAATTAAATTCATCACAACATGTTCTGGTAACAATCCTCTAAAAACTAATGTCCAAATAACTGTATATCTAATCCATTCTCAATGACCGTGTCGTGTAGGACAGCGTTGTGAGAATTCCATCGGCATCGAAAGCAAGTTTTTAAATTGCCTAGATAGCCAAGCGGTCTAACGCGCTGTTCCTGCACTGCTGGGAGACAGATTCCGTAGGTTGAGAGTTCAACCCCGGGCTTGGGCGGAAGTGAGTATCCTTGTTAAAGTGAATTTCTCTGCGCTTTCTATATATATATATATATATATATATATATATATATATATATATATATATATATATATATATATATATATATATATATAATCAATAGGCATTGAAAATTGGAGTTTACCTTCTTTTGTTGGTTAAGCCCCCTCCCCCCTCCATCCTCACACCCCCACTTTCTATTAGGCCCTTCATATCACTTTGATTACATTTACGACGCCTATAACGGAGCAGTTTATAAGCAATGTGAACTTTTCGAAAGCACAAATAATTACTTTATCTTTTTATGTGTTACACTGGTATTTTATACGAAGAATATATGTCATTGAAGTCGGAAGCTAATTGAAAGTTGGTGGGGGCTAAGTGTAAGAGGGAAAAAAATGGACCTTCTTGTATAACAACGGGACAAGCAAAAAACAGGAAAAGGGGAAAAACTGTCCTTGCCCAACCAAACACGAAAATCCAATTCCTATTTCGTAGAGGGGGTATTTGAACTTCATTCAGAATTATCGGTCACGGTGGCCTATTTGTAGAGTGT